CAATCCCGTGTCCATGGACTCTTGACTGCAGCACCAAGGAAAAACCTGGCATGAAGGAGGACTCAGGCAAGAGAAAGAACAAGCTATGAAACAGTGCACACTCTTCTGTGTAACAGAACTCCAGCTTTTAATTGTTCAGGTGTTGACAGCAATTATCCTTGGCAGAAAGGTGAGAATTGTGGCTGAACAGCTGGAAGAGAGAGAGCGCTTTTTTGCAAGCTTTAGCAGAGCTGGAATATTCAGAGGTGTCCTAGGGATGTGGTGAAGAATGCAGCATGGTGGAATATATAAAATGTTTTATTAAATGGGGGGGGGGGGATGTGGAAATGCTGGTTCTTCCTTCCTGAAAATAGAACAGTGGAGAAATAAAAACCTGGCATGAAGGAGGACTCGGGCAAGAAAAAGAACAAGCTACAAAACAGTGCACAAATTTGTGTAAAAATTGAGCAAAGGCTGATATTTGGTTTACCTAATATGTTAAACAGACATCCACAGTGACACACATATTCTCTTCGAGCCTTGGATGCAGAACTCAGGGCTTTTTCGAACTGTAATTTGTATTTTTTTAAAAAAGAAAATTATTTAACATATCATTGGAGAGTAATCACATTTACTGCATTTCAGTTGAATTGCTCTTCATTGATACCAAAACAAAACAAATCTGGATTTTTCCTGGGGGCCCCTTCAATTGCTGTGAACTGGACTGTGGCTATCAGCACTTCCTCAAAGGCCAAGATGCCATCCCTCCAGTGGGAAAAAAGGTGCCTTAAGCCACAATCAAACCAAACAAACCACAAAATCATCCTGTAGCCATTAAATCAGCCACTAAATTATGGCTTTCAGCAAATGTGTGCATTTGCACATTCAGAAACGGAATACACTGGTTCAGAGCATTCTGTTCTCTTTCTATCCTGTATCACTCCAGAAGCAACTTGGTGGTTTCCAAACATAAATCCCAGTGCTTAGCTAGTTTCTAGAAATAAATTCTCTAATACAGAAGTAGCTTAGGGTGGTGCAGTGATGATTCATCTTCCCAACACCAGCTGTTTCATATCCTGGACATGTTGAATTGCTTCGGGCTTGAAAAAACTATCAACGCCCAAGAATGACATGGGCTGGAGAGGTTGGACACAGACTAGGGGAAAGAATGGGACATTCCAGTATGGTGTCTGTTCAAACATTCCTTTCCACTCCTATTGCAGTATTTTGAACCTTTCAAACGTTCCTTTCCAATCTGAATCATGTGAATTGAACTTCTATAGTGTAAATTCAATTAACTGTAGTTGATTCAGTTAACTATAATTAAGCTCAATATGCAGTTGAGTTTATCGCATGGAAATCCTTTTCAAAATTCACTTGGTGAGATGAACTTTGATAGCCATAAATATATCTATGGTAATATGTTAAGCTCATATAGATTCTCAAATGAATATGGCTAACCTTCAATACCTCTGTAATGGATCAATCAATCAGTAAACACGAGAGTCCATAATTAGCACCAATACTTTCAAGATCTTATACTCCATTTTTCAAAATTTACTTGACTGTGTTTCCAGTTTATACACTCATGGTAAACTTGAATGGTAAGTATAATAGGATTCTCTAGTAATTATACATGTATATGCAGCCAAAATAATATATTTGTTAGTTTTATATCCTGTCTTTCCTCCAGAAGCTCAAGGGGTGAACACAGCACTTAATCATTCTACTTTTCTCACAACAACCATGAAGTAGGTTGGGTTGAGTTGACCTGGCTGGTTCACAGGTGAGTCTCCAAGATGAGGAGACATATTTATGTTGATGAGGACGCTAGAGAGATATTTTTGTTAAATCATCTTAACGATAGCAGTTGTCTAGTTCATACAGTGCACTGAATCTGAATAGGATTTAGAACATGTAGAAGTCAATTTCTACAGTTGGTTTATTCCAATAACAAATCATACCTTAATACAGGAATGTCCAACCTTGGCAACTTTTAAGATTTGTGGATTTCAACTCCCAGCCAGCCAGCAGCCCTGCTGCCTGGGAAATTCTGGGAATTGAAGTCCACAAGTCTTAAAAGTTGCTAAGGTTGGACAACCCTGCCTTAGTAAGACAAATGAACCAAGCCACTAAATGCAACAAGGCTCATACATTTTCTTATTTCCAGACCAATACTGCATCAATGTTTGGGTCAGATCGATAAGCGAGCAAAAGCTTTTGAGTTTTCTGTGAAACTTCCTTATACTAAATATGGTATACAAATGATTGGAAAGGACATTTGAAGAACTGATTAATGGGTAAGATAGAATTGTTTACTCAACAAATAAAGTGATCCTTGTCACAGTGACTGCAAGAGTACTCCAGGTATCCATCTCACATTTCGCTAGGTGTGTGTTTATTGGAATCAATATTTTTTTAAAAACAGCCATGTATGTAAACATATTGTTTTGCATTGAATTTTGGTTTTATGGACAAAAATAGCACTAAAAAGGGTATTCTCCCAGTTGATTTTTGGAGTGTGCCAATACTTTTTCAAGCATCTGAACCCACTGCATTATGAACAAGAGTTTAACAATTCATGCAGTGGGACTTTTAGCTTCTCTTCCTCCTTTGAGTACCCAACTATTTTCAGACCCGGTTCTAGAGCAATGGGGGGACTTCCCAAAACAAATCTGAAGATACAAAGGGATTTTGCCTTGGTACATGCACATATATATTCAAAAGCCAAACTAACTGTGGTCATTGATACTTGTTCTTGTTTCAGAGGATCAGATACTTTTATTTAGAAATGTCTACTGATTACAATCTAGTGCTCTTCTAAGGTGATGGACCAGGCTGTTTATAATTGCACTGAATTTATGCCTTATGCTAAACCCTGATGGTTAAACCATGGTTTACTCAGTGTCTGAACTTACACCTCATGCTATGCCAGAATTGAATAAATAGCTTGAGCATGGTGCATAAATTATAGGTTGGATGTGGAATCTCAATCGCCCTCCCATTTAAAAGAAACCCTTTAAAGTTGGGAAGTGCCCAGCTGGCAAAGTAGAGGGAAGGAGTTGGTGGTTTGAGAAAAAAGGGAGCAGGACTTCAATCACACAGTGGTTCCCACAATCTTAATTTTTATGACCTCTAGATTTTTGATAGACAAAGACAACTGGAGGTATTATATAAAAAAAGAAAAGATTAAAAAAAAAGAGTTTAAGACCCAAGCCATTATTTTTCACACTGCCTTTGGAACATGCCACTTCCTGTATACTTTCTTAAATCTGGGATACATCATTCCGTTTTCCGTTCATGCTTTCTTTGAAGCTGATGTCTGTCACTTTGAATGGCGTGTGCTTGCTGTAGCCACCTTTGGCAACTGAGACAGCCATTTTCTAAAAGGGCTCCATCTTTCATCCCAGCCATCACCATCGCCGCAGGTTACTAGTTTTGCACTAACTGTTATACACAAGCAACTAGGGAAAGTTTGCTTGGAAAAGAAATGGGTCACCTTTATTCTATGCACATGTTTTAATGCCTCTGGATAGTAATGCACCAAGTGTATTGCACTCTGCGATCCATTTGCATTGCAATCCCTACCATATTTGTAAGTGTGGATTTTAAAATAAATGAAAAGGGGGGGGAGGAGGAGGAGCTATTTTCCCCCACTCTTGATCAACCTCACTTAGGAGGGGCACAATGATATCCAAAACTAAGGTTGCAGACTGATATCCACTCACTTCAATTGCAAACACTGTGACCGATTCCAATGCTATAACTTTACAAAAGCTGGACAGGGAGACCTGTTGCATCTTATTGCTTTGGCATTCTTCAACTCCCCTAACTTGTAAAGTTGTCTTGCTTTCCAACCCCGCTCCCCTGCACCTGTCCCATCTTCAAAACGTACGTTTTTCACTACTTGGAAAAACTTTGGATCTGGGTTACGGTTCAACGCTAGGAAAGTCTTCAAAAGTGAAAGGGCTCGGGAAGAACAAAGCCGCGGAAACAACTATTGGTCGTCTCGTTTGCTCCCAGGGGAATCGGGAAAGAGGGGCTTGTTTTGTTTGGGGCGGCGGGATGGAAGCTCCGCAGCGGCTATTGAGTCTGTGGCCTTAAAAGTCATTTGAAGTTTAAATTTTTTTTTTTTAAAGCGGATTTCTGAATTCACAATAATGCTGCGCCGCAGGACTGCACCGCTGGAAAGCCTGTAACTTGTACCGGTCCCCCGTCTGCAGTTTTTAACCTTTTTATGGAGTTCTAAAATAAAATAAGATTACTAAATGCAAACGTAAATAGGGAAACGGTGGGGAGCAAGAGAAGGGAGGAAGGATAAGAAGAAAAAGAAAAGCTTCCCTTTGGGTGTTCCTCCCCCTCCCCCCGTTAAGCAGCCAGACTGCAGCTGTGAGGGGAAAAGAAATACTGGAAGGGAGTCGAGCTCCAAATACGGTCGAAGTGGTGGCCATTTAGCCCCGGGCAGCATGGCCGAAGCGTCCCAAAGGGTGGAAACTGACCACCTGCAAGCCCGTTTCCTCCATTTACTTTCCAAGAAACTAACTGCCCGGGGAAGCAAGGCTTTTTTTTTTTTGTAGTATTTTTAGTCTTTATTTGATTTGTCAATCGCTTACAAGACAACAGGTATAAGAATAAACATAGTTTTGAATACATGAGATAAGATACTTATAAGAGAAATAAAAAGAAACAATAGGACAAGGGACGGTAGGCACAATTGGGTGCGTTTATGCCTCACTGAGCCGAAGGCATTTTTTTTTTTAAAGGATGAAGCCAATTCCCCTTTTCTGGCAAAACTGGAAGAGGCAACCGAGGCGTCCCGCTCGGGAACGAGACCTCCTTTCGCCCCCAACATCGAAAGCTACTCTTTTGGGGGGGGGCGAGGGGGGGGGCAAGCGTGAAAAGGCGGGAGGATTGGAGGGTGGGGGGGGGAAGAGAAGGCGAAGAAAGACATGTGCGCCTGCGCAAATGGCTTCCGCCCAGCGGCCGGCGCTTGCGCAGACCGTTTTCCTGGTCTGGCGTCCGCGCTACATAAGAAGATGCAGGAAGGCGGCGCTAATGAGAGTCGCTCTGCAGCCCCTGAGGAGAAGAAGAAGAAGAAGAAGAAGCCGAAGAAAAAGAAGGAGGCGGAGGCAGTGACGGTGACGAAGGCGAAGGCGGAGGCAGAGGCACCACCGCCACTACCACCACTACTACCGCCGCCGCCGCCAGTTGCACCCCCACCGCTCGTAGCAGCAGCAGCAGCAGCAGCAGAGGCGGCGCCAGAAGAAGAAGCAGCAGCGACAGCGGCAGCAGCAGCAGCAGAAGCGGCGGCGGCGCCAGAGGCAGAGGCGGCGGCAGGGGCAGAAGAGGACAGCGTTATAAGCGAGCAACCGGAGGCTGCCACCATGGTGAAGATCGTCGGGGACTTGGTAAGGGAGGCGGCGGCGGCGGCTTCTTCATTCATTGGACGACAGTAGGCCTCGCTGGGGGGGCGGACGGCGGGGAGAAGGACCCCCTCCTCGGGTTGGATAACGCGCAGAGCTCAGGATGGCGCTGCGCCTCCCCGCAGCGCTTCTCCGGCCGGTCCCGGAGGCGCTTGAACCACCCCCCCCCTCTCCCCGGGTCCGGGGAGCGCCGCTTGCTTTGAACCACTCGCTTCGCGTGGCTTTGGGGAAGGGCGAGCCCGCCTGCCCTATCGAGGAGACCCACCGGGATGCGTGGAGGCGCGACGATGCCTCCCCAACGCCCCACAGGCGCTTTGGAGCAGACTGGCGAGCTTGGGAGGGACCTTGGAGGTCTTCTAGTCCAGCCCCCCCCCGCCCCCCTCCCCTTGCTCAAGCAGGAGGAGACCCTGTTACCTTTTCAAGACAGGTGGCTGGTCCAGTCTCCTCTTTAAAAAGCCTTCCGGGGCTTGAAGCACCTGAAGGCTGCCGAATTGTTCTCCCTTTGAATAGGAAAATGTTCTCCCTTCATGCCAAGTTGCTTCTCTCCTTGGTTAGTTCCCACCCTGGGGCTTTGGGAAAATCCGGGGTGGCTGGAGCCGGAGGTCCCCCCACAAGGTTGGGCAGGGTGCGCCTCTTCCAGCTTGCTCTGGCTCCTTTTCCCTCCCGAAAATGTTGCCCTGGAGGCTCCTTGGGTGAAATGGGGTGTGTGTGGCTGAGCGCCTTGCAGACAGAGGGGGAGGGGACTCTTTCTCCTGGCCGGGTTTGGTGGCTCGGCTCCTTGGGCCCCTTGGCCAGGTGGGAAATCAGAAATCAGTGGCGGTGGTCACGCCCGTGGCGCCTGCTCCTTTGGGGCTTCATTTAATTTACCTTTTGGCTTTTACAAGAACTGGCGGGCAGGGCAGCCTGGTTTAGCCAGGAACATGTTTATTTCTTCCTCCCACCCCCCAAAAAAACCCCACCATGGGATTTTCCTTCCCTCTTTCAAAATGCAATGCTGTGAACATGTCGGTAGGCCCACCTTAAACAAGGCTTAAACCTTGATAAGGTGCAGGGAGGGAGGGTAGGTTTAAATGACCCAGTGGGGAGATCTCAGAAAACCTTACTTTATAGTTGGTTTTGAAGCAAAGGTAGAAAGGTCTTACCAGAGCTACATGATGTGTGTGTATGCATATATATATAGAGAGAGGGATGTATATATATTTCCATTTAGGTAGTGCTGTTACCCAATTGCCTAATTGAAATTCTTCTTTCTTGCACCAGACTTTCTAGCCTACCCAATGCTCAGGAAGACAGATAAGGGAAATTGCAAGAGAAAAGTTACGAAGTTTTATAGTCAGAAATAAACGGAACTTTTACTGATCTATAGAAGTTGTCTTTGCTCATTGGTCACTTGGAAATATTTTTTTAAAATTTCTTTTATATCTGGTTGGGAACTTCTGCCTGTTCAGAAGTTACTGGCTTGCAACTCTTGATACCTTTTCCACTGGATGGATTTTTTTTTTTTTTTGGTAGTTTGAAGCTCAGTTTCTTTCTGTGGGCTGCAGGTTCCTTATCCCTGTCCTTAAAAACATCTCCCCCTTGTCTTCATATAAACCTGGTTTGCAAAGTAGATGGACTCCATTATAAAGGAACTGAGATCACCTTTGGAAGACTTGAAAGATTAGGTTGGGGAAATGGGTTAGGTTTTTCAAAAGAAAATCTGTGTGGGCATTAACAGTCCACACCAACTTGATAGCACATCATCAGTCTGGCTTGTTTGGGCTTCGTTTGTTGTCTCTTGCAATATTGTAGCCTCTTGTGGAAGCAAAGAAATCATGTAAGGTGCTGCTGATTGACAGGATTGCCGTGTTAAACTTGAGTCATCAGAGGAAGTGGATTATTTTCAGAAAGTACTTGACTAATACTGTATAGGTGTTTGTATGCTTTCCTATAACTATGGAATAGAATAACTGACACACCTAGGTACTTTTGCAAACTAGGAAATCACTTTTGATAGCGTGACTTGAATTTTAACCAGTTGGTGATCTAGTTTGATTATTGATCTGGCAGCCATGTCTCCTTGTATATTATGATAATACACATCATAGAAACATAGGTGGATTAATGTTCAGTATTATGCCAAAACATATAAACCTTCATTTTTTTTCTTTGTCTCTACCCACATTCTTCCTATTGCATCTCTTTTCCTGTCCCTCTTGCCACCCCAAAATCTTAAAATCTGGTAGTGTGGCCATCTTTTGGATTTAATTTTACTCACTGGGGACACAAAGCTTACTACAACCTGCTTTTCCTTTCCCTCTCCCACTAATCTGTGGGGTTGCCTGCCCAGCTTTTGAGTATGAATCATGTTATGAGAAACATTTATGTGCAGTAAGGGTTGCTGACTAATGTAGTAGTGTTGAAGGATTAGGGCAATGACAGTTGGAGTTGAAAGGGAATGGGAGAAGATGAACTTTCCACAATCTGATTTTCTCATAGGAAAATTTGTTCTGCTGATTCAGATGCCTCCAACACGGTATTATTAGTGTCAACAACATTGCTTTCTTGATCTTGGGCAGGAATTTTTGTAGTGCTGTTTGGAAATATCGTACATCAAACCTGCAAGCATCAGTATTGTGTTCACTAGTCCAGAAGTGTTGAATTATCTTTTCAAACAGCATGGTCAAGAGCATATGCTTGAGGAAGGCTGACTAAGGCATTTTGTCTTCTTCAGAAATGATTATTATGACATATTTTTAGGAATGCCAGCATTTATAGCTCCATCTAATGAAGGAGAAGGATTAATGAACCGGGTAAACTGATAAGATCATCTGAGGAGACAGTAGAAGCAGGATGTTTTCGGCTTGTGCTTTTGCATTAAGCTTTCTGTAATACATGGTGATTTAGGAATACATACTAAATATGTGGTATCCTACAGTATTGCAATGTTAGTTTACTTTATTGTCATTGCACCTTATACAACGAAATCATACACCTTTTTCAGTGCACATCATGGCCATGAAAATAAACACAAACACACACCCTTCACATTCCAAACATTGAATTGAAAATCCCAACACCACACCAACACTGCACTATACAGTAGAATTCAGCAGAGCTACTGCCCTGATATAGAAGCTGTTTTACAGCCTATTTGTCCTTTTTATTATTCTGTACTGTCTGTCAGATGGTAATCGTTCCCCCCAAAAAGGGTTCCCAGAATGAGATGGATCTTGAGAATATTTTGAACTTTCTTAAGGCAGCGGGAGTTATAAAGTTCTTCCAAAGAGGGGAGAGGGCAACCAATGATCTTCTGGGCAATGACATTAATCCTCTGGAGTGCTTTCCTATCTGCCACTGTGCAATTGGCAAACCATACAGAGATGCAGTAAGTTAAAATACTCTCTGTGGTGCAGCGGTAGAAGGTCACCAGCAGTTTCTTATTCAGTTGTTTTCTGAGAAGCCTCAGTTAGTATAATCTCTGCTGGGCCCTTTTGACCAGGGCTGCAATGTGAGCATCCCAGGTCAGGTCTTCTTTTAGGGTAACACCCAGAAACTTAAAACTGGCCACTTGCTCCACTCAGTCTCCACTGATAAGCGAGGGCTGGATGTCTGATCTTTTCTTTCTATAGTCCACTGTAAGCTCCTTGGCCTTATTGGTGTTGAGGACCAAGTTATAGTCTCCACACCAGGATAGCAACCAGTCTTCCTCATCTTGGTAGGCAGACTCATCCCCCCCCAGAGATGAGTCCCACCACTGTTGTATCGTCTGCAAATTTAGTAATAGTATTACTAGCGTGAATGGGAATGCAGTCATGAACATAAAGAGTATAGAGTATGTTGGTAAGAAACCAGCCAAAAATCAAGATTTGCTGCTTTCCTTAATCTGTCAGTTCATTCTCTTGATCTTTAGCATAGTTTTTCCCCCTGAAAAATACTGCTATTTGATTTATTCTCATGACTAATGAATTGTTCTCTTTGGCGTCTTGAATAAACTAAATCTGTTGGAATTTGCCATCTTTGTTTGCTATATGGTCAGATTAAAATATATAAAAGCAGTCAAAAATGGATTTTTTAGAGAAGGTGGCCAGTCGTGAGAAAACTTGCACAAAGTACTACCATATCAGGACTTTTTGTTTTTGTTTTATTTGCCAAAACAAGATTTGCAGGAGACATCCTGTTGGATTAGATTTTTAGTGTCCCTCTATTTTGATGCAGTATTCAAGTTAACCCTTTCTGCTGTGTATTGCATTATTATTACTACATTCTTTATGTAACATGGAATGACATCATTTCTCATTCCTATCAGCTTTCAAATATGCTTGCCATACAGAGTCCAAAAGATTAGAGTGGGATAAAAGCTGATAGATTGATGGACAAACAGGGCAGACCTATCTTCCCATTCCAATTCCTGGCTTTCCACAAATATTAAGTGTGTCCCAAGAATCAAATGATGACCCATCATTTAGGAATGCTACTTTGAGAAGGATGAACTGGTGGAGCTACACTTCTGTAGTGTTTGTTGATGACTACAACTTTTTGAATTCCTGTTGCAGCTAAATTCTAGGAAGTACACATCCCAACACATCAAGTAACATATGCCTTCATCTGGAGGACATCAGGCTTCCAGTAAGCTAAAATTTGCTGGGTATTTCTTCCCCTTCCTGTAAGATTATTATTCTGAGAGTCTTATAAATTATCTTCTGAAAGGATCAGCCTAGATACTACATTAATAATTATGCTGCACCTCCTTTCCCCAGAATGGCTTGTAATTTGGGGAATCAAGCTTTTATAATTATAAATGTCTAAAGAGGTGTTCCCATTAGACAAGTTAAAGTTGCTAATTGAAACAGTGCCAGAACAAGAGTTTTTGGAAACTGTTGAGGCAACTTAGCGATGTGGCTAAATTTGGTGGAATTCCCCGGATCAAGTGCGGTAGCACAGATGGCCAACGCATCTAGCACTTAGCTTCTCTACTGTTATGAGTAGAGGGAAATGCCTCCTGT